AGAGAGAAAAGAGAGAGAGAGAGAGAAAGAAAAGAGATGGAGAGAGAGAAAGAAGAGAGAGAGAGCGAGGACGAGAGAGAGAGAGAGAAAGAAAAGAGATAGAGTGAGAAAGAAAAGAGACAGAGAGTGAGGGGGAGAGAGAGAGAAAGAAAAGAGAGAGAGAGAGAGAGAGAGAGAGAGAAGAGAGAGAGAGCGAGAGAGAGAGAGAGAGAGAAAGAAAAGAGAGAGAGAGAAAGAAAAGAGAGAGAGAGAGAAAGAAAAGAGCGAGAGAGAGAAAAAAAGAGAGAGAGAAAGAAAAGAGCGAGAGAGAGAGAGAGAGAAAGAAGAGAGAGAGAGAAAGAAAAGAGCGAGAGAGAGAAAGAAAAGAGCGAGAGAGAGAGAGAGAGAGAAAGAAGAGAGAGAAAGAGAGAAAAGAGAGAGAGAAAGAAAAAAAGAGAGAGAGAAAGAAAAGAGAGAGAGAGAGAGAAAAGAGCGAGAGAGAGAGAGAAAGAAAAGACAGAGAGAGAGAGAGAGAGAGAGAGAGAGAGAGAGAGAATCCTTACTTGCATGCCCCAATATTCAAAGAAAGATACAGTTGGATCTAAAATTCTTCTGCTGGTTTTCCCCACAACAACCAATGTTTCTTCCTTGTCGCCTCTGGTCTTCTGCCAGTCCATGGAGATGAACTTGGGACTCTCGATCTCAGAACGGTGAAAGGGATCCTTGATCTGCAAGGGCGTCTTACTGTACAGACATTGGTAATGTATTTTAGAGCTTGCGTTTGCAGCCTGTGGGTCTATCACGGTGGCCTGGACTAAAGGGATTAAGACAGGAAACAGCCAGTGAGTAACTGTAAGGCAAAAGTAATCATTAGAACATTTTACCACATGCTACACCCGATGCGCTAGCTAAGTTGGTTAAACCAGCTGCGCGGCGACCAGGTGACAGATTTCTTCTGGTCCTAGTTTACGCTCCGGGGCAGGAAAAAAAAACCCACACATTTCCTAGATTATCGGTATCTGTCATGAAATCTGTATCTGTCATGGAATCAATGCCGAAAGGTTGCTTTATCCATAGTACCGAGCCAAAGTGTTAACAATTCATAGTTTCTGGACTCCCCCTCCCTCCAACCACATGCTATAGTGGTACTCGTTGATACCCTTGCAGCATTAAAAGCTCAAGAATGAGAACTGACTTCTTCTTAATGTTTAGTAGCTGAAAACTGTTAAAGAAAAGTTATAGTTGTTTATCCACTTCTGGATTTTGGTCCTTTTTCGCCAAAGAGTTTTGAGTCCACGTTCATTGTTGAGGTCATTCTTATTTGTATGCAGACTGCTGGTTCCTCGCCTCTCATGTAGATGCACTCTGACATTCTCTGGCTCTGCACACCAGTTCACTAACCACGTTATAGTGAGTCGTGTACCCGCGGGGATGCACTTGTATAACTGATATACACTTTTATACGGGGTTTCTGGGATTTTCTTCTTTCTACACCACCCCCCCCCCCCCCCATAAATACTGGGTACTAGATTTGTCTGGGAAAGAAAAATAAGTTAATCGACGTTCAACTGCACGGCAAACGGGTCATCCTGAACTCAAATTATTACGAGTCAGTTTTGGACAATCGTGTGTCAGTTTGGGTAGAGAGAGGTCGTTCAATTTGATCGGCAAGTTTATTTCTATAACTTGCAGGTTCTACCTTGTCAATAACCCACCACAGACAGATACTTACTGAGGATGTTGGAGATGAGAACAAGGAGAAAACAGACAGTTGTCGCCATGAAATAACAAACATATACAATTAGAGACAAAATTTCAAGCTCGAGCGGAAGCAGACTTGTAAGGTTGCCAGATTTCTTCTCGTTTACAGCCAAACGAGTTTGTTAATATTCAAGTTCATGTTTCTCCAAAACACCCTGCGCTGTTATTGTGGCAAAAACGTTCTCCATCAATACCTTGCATACAATACCTCATCTGTCTCACCTTGCCTCCTTCCCCTGAGGCCCCGACGTACTTTTTTTTTAGACCTGCCATATCAGTCTTCTTCTTCTTTAAGTCCATGCCGTGTGGCCTTCTGTCCCGTGTACTTTTAATTAACTCTGATACAAATGATCCTCCATGGCCTAATGCCAAACTGTCCAGCCTCTCCTCTTTCGGTCTTCTTTTGCCTCCAACTTCCCTATTGTTATGATGGACTCCAGTTTTCTTATTCTCACCACACGACCAAAGAATGTAGATCGTCTCCTTCTGATGCGACTCAGTTTTTTTTTTAAACTGTCAGTATATGTAACAAGGGTTTATGATCTATTTCTCCATTCCCTTTTATTCTGTGCAATTATTTCAATAGGTTTGAGGTTTTGAACAACAGATCAACATCATGGCACACGGGTAGTAACCCATAAGTGTTCCGTTTTTCTTCTAACTCAAGTCTGAGTCCAAAGAAGCTCAGCAAAGTGCACATGCTCTGTAGCACCGGTGACTATCCTGAAATACTTTGGGTACATTTTTAGACTCCAAATTTAGCTTGGGCAAAGCCGTTAGCCTACTCTCTTCGATTTCCAACTGCCCAGGGATTTTTTACGTGTGCAACAATGCACATGGGCGTCCGATCTCACTACCCAGAGACCAGGGAGAATCACTAGATGTCCAAGTCCACATGAAAAAATCCCAGCCCTTACCGGGAATTGAATCTGCAACCTCTGGCACTCGAGGCGAACACCATGCAGACCCCTCATTTCAATACCACGGATGGAATCCAGTCCAGTACCTTTAGCCTCTCTCATCACCGTTTGCCTTAGGGTTTCTCCCGCTAGAACTGTTTTTCTCATTCCATTTTTTATTCGCCTCTTCTCAGTAACAGCAGCACCTGTATCATAACGATTAATTTTTTCACTCCCCTTAGATTCATTCTATTGTATGCTTATCATTTTCCTCAGGCATTTGTTTCCAATGCATTATACTTTCAAGCAATAATTATACAGAAGGCTCAAGTCCCCTACAACATGTGTTAATATACTGTCTCCCCATCCCCCCTAACAACAAAAAAAGAATTACATAGCTACTAAAAGGAGCATGCATACATACAATTTTGACATTCTGCATCTTCGTAATGCTATAAAGGAATTTACTCACAAGAACACATTAGGGTTCCATTAATCAATCATCATGGTTATTTTTTGTTGCATCTAGGTTATGATATTTTGTAGGCGAACAACCTTTCCTGTTAGTATGGTGTGTTGCCTTCTCTTATGTGGATCAGTGCTGGCATCTTCTGGGCATGTGTGCGATCAGATGTCTGATGTGGGCCTGTGGGATGGCTGCTAACTCTTCTTGGAGTGCCTGGAACAGATCGCAACAATTGGCTGGAGCAGCGTCTCAGCGACAAACAAGTCCTTGATGCTAATCCCACATGTGCTCAACTAAATGGTCAGAATGTTACTGGCAGCCAGAAACTGAGTGGTCAACGTACAGAATGCGGTCTGGCGTTATCCTGTTAAAAAAGATATCTGTTGGTATCCAAAAAATGGAAGGACATTTAGTCAAAGAATTTCACTGATGTCTCGTTGGGCATTCAAGCTTCGTTCAATGTGCACTGACTCCTGTTATAACTGATTTTTCCCCACCACCGTGCAGCAGAGCTTCAACAACAAAATTTTGGGCTAAATCTTCATTTCCTCTATGGTGGACCCTACGCCTTCTATCATGATGCTGCAACAAGAAAGATTCGTCACTGAACCAGACATGTCCCTATTGGTTGTCACCTGCTCAGGGATTGATGTTGGTTGGCTCAAAGAAGTCGATTTTGGCAGTAGCAAAGCATAAGAACAAGTCCTTGGTGTGTCCGCCAGAACAGTTTGATAAGACATGACGTCATGGAGGCAATGTCTGTGCAGTTGAGGAAGCTATTGTAAACCTGCCCCTGAGGTGACAAAGGCGAATAAAGCGATTCTCCGCTGTTGTCAACTCTGGGTCATACACTGCAATGTCAGTCTTTAACCGAATTAGTGCCAAAGTTGACAGATGCTACTCTGATTCACGATTACATGCCTGGCAACCCGACTTTCTCCTGCCTGCAATCGGCCAGTAGCAAAAACCTTAAATCTATCCATAGAAGCACCATTTGTGACTGCTTGAAAATGAGCTAGATATGTTGGTATAGCGTTATTCTTTTACAGGGTTTCAATTGCGTAGGCTGTGAATAGTGTTCACCTCAAGTTGTGTTCCTTTCTCATGCCACGCTCACAAATATGGGCTTAAAAACTGACAATTGCAGTGATTCAAAAACATCAGAAAGAGACAGTCATCATGTTATGATAAGAGGGAAATTGGAACATGTCATGACCACTGGAAAGATAGAGAGAGGAAGACAGTGCGAGAAGATTCTTGAGACTTTTGTCATTGCATGAAGGGGTGCCAACACACAGATACAGCTGCAGATCAAAGGTTGTGGAGAGGCGAGATCGCCCACACAAGCCACTTGATGATGACATAAATTCAGACACCTTTGCCGCCCACTTATATAGTTAGTGCCCCAATGAGAAAGCTATCGCAACCTTTATTATTGTTTGTGACATTAGACCCGGAGCATATTTTGTACATCTCAAACCTTTGCAGAATCTGAAGATTTGCTAAATACCACGAAGAGTAACATTAAATGAAATGACCCATCTATGCACTCTTTCTCACAAACTAACTTTTTAAAGCGAAACATTAAGTACTAACATAGCGCTGCAATGCCATATTTCTATTGCCATAACCCTCCCCATAAGTGTGACAGAATGCTGCACAGAACAGCCTCAGCAACTTTACATCATCCCCCCATGCACACAACTAGCAGAGGGGGCAGACATCTTCAGGCCACAGCCCTTGCGCTTCAACAACAAACAATAAAAACACCATAAAGGATAACTTCTTGCTTTCCCCAAAACTGATGGTGACAAGACAAATACAAGGAAAAAAAAGTAAAACAAATTATGATATCACTTATTATTTAACTTTTAATGAAAGAAGAGAAAAATAACTCATGATGATGGTGCCGCCGCCGTTGCTGCAGGGACATCATCCTTGTCTCCCTTGGTAGCCCTAGTGTAGATGAGCTGAGAGTTGTGCTTGGACACCATGCGGATCAAACCTGCAAGCAAGAACAGACAACATTAGAGCCTAAACAGTAAATGTTTAATGAACTGACTGACATTCAATACAAAATCACAGCAGAAAGATGTCAGTGTCTCAATAACAAGCTTATCCAGTCAGCAAAGTGTAACCAACTAGAGTTGCTTAACAGTGAGTCAATTGTGTGTCCTTTACCGGACCTTGTAAAACCAACCCCAACATTTTAATGGGTGCTGCGGCTTTCTAGTCAAATTTATGTCAAGTAATTTATAACACTTAAAAGCAAAGTACAAATATCTGCAGCCAAATCGCCTGCAGCTGGGATCAAACCCAGTACTACAGCGTGTGTGCGCAACATCTAAGCCATACATGCTTAACAGCAGAAATGCTTAATTGAATTTACAAGAAATGCAGACAGTATGCAAGGCATACTAGTTATGAAAATTGACCAAATATGTAGACAGAACAGGTTGGGGTCATGGTGTGAGACGAACAAGATGACATGACCCAAAAATGTGTGTCCTCATCTGGGTCAATCATTACTCCATGTGTTACAGTTTCTTTCGACATTACTTTTCTGATCTGCCCATGGTGTTATCATTCCCTTATAGAACCATATCGCTGCTTCGCTGATTTTCACTAACTGGCTAACCAACTATCCACGATTCCCTTCCATATATCAGGACAGGATCTATATAGCTTCTAAGAATTCTCTCTCACCCGAATAGACAAAGCACGATTATATAGAATACTTTTAGTTATTTTGTAAATGTCGCCTTTGAACTATTCTACATGTAACTAACATCCGCCATTAAGTACAAGATAACAGGTAAAGCAAACAACACACTAGAGATGTAATAATAAACCACTTCTGTCTGCCGTAGACAGGTACAGCTTGATATCCCGCGGATGTTGGCTGGCACTGGTACGCTTTAAAGGGTCTGTAAAGTGTTACCCATGGTCGTCCTGTTGTTGACCTTTCTAAAACGCTATGCCTGTTATAGTTTTTTGATGATGATGCATTCTAAACAGATGACCAAACCACTTGAATGGATGCCTCTATGAATCTAGGACAGGTTTGCAGTCAGATATGATTATTATATACCCCATAGTGGATAGTGAAGTTGGTGACCCCTCTCAGGTATCTCACTTTTCAAAAATATCTGAGAATGTACAAGAAAGACATGCAGTCTATTTTTTTTTATTTTTTATTTACCCTGGTCATCAAACCCCCTGAACAGCGGTACCAAAAATGGTTGAGAATATGATCCACTGCTCTCATCTATTCTGACAAAACTTAAACACAAACCTTTTAAGTGGAGCTCTCTCAAGGCTTGCTTTGCCAGTGACCCCCTGACCTTTAACCTCTCAGAGACCACAGATGGAGTGATCAACTTGTAACTGGGCACTTCCTTATACAGCTTGTCATATGTTGACTTGTCAAACAGGATCAAATTGTTCAACTTGTCTCGGACTTTTCCTTTGGACCACTTCTGTTGAACATAACTGAATTACTTAGGTACATAAGGCAACTAATAAATTTGGAACATCACGAGGAAACATGTAATCAAAAGCTGAGAACATATGCTAGTATGAATCCTCCTTAAAAATCTCGTGCAAAACATATTCAGACATACTGACCCACAAAAGTGACACCCCCAGTCTTGGCGTTGACATACAATTGTCACCGAGCATGCACAAATAGGCTCTCCTTTAAATAACGGTCGCTAGCTGGAAGGGGACGGCCGCTTAGTCGGAGTTCAGTCCCCTGGCTGCAGTGCAATTACGGAGTGGAAAACAGGGAACGAAACAAATGATATAGTTACCTGTCATCCTAGGGTTAGGCTTAGGGTAACACATCACAGACACGACCAAGCTTATCGCTCATTACGACATACAGATCCGCAGGTCTCACATCTACGGTCACTAAGTCTTGCGTCGAAAGAACGGAACGCGGCCGCTAATTTGAGTCACAGCACGTGGTCTAGCTCTAGCAGGCATGTCAACCTCACTTTGTTTTTTGATTCACAACTGTCCGGTCCGTAAAAGCACTGCAGCCAGGGGAGTGAACTCCGACTAAGCAGCCGTCGACGTCCAACTAGCAACCGTTATTTAAAGAAGAGCCCACAATTCTTCTTGCATTGACCGGCGCACAATTTAAGCAATCTGGTTGTTTTCTCCAAGGAAGAACTTACCAATGGTCTGTTATCTGACTGAAATGATGCCAGGAATGCATACTTTTGTCCAATGTTAAACCGGCAATTTTCTTAAACAGTTTGAAAAATCACACCCAACAAAACTAATCAAATCATGGTTAACACTTTGCACCAACAAGAAATAATGAACAACAAATACACAACAATGCCCACTGGGATTGTATCAACATCTCCACACACATCAGCAGACAATACCATAAATCATATCCAGAACACAAGTTTGTTTTCATCAAAGAAGCGCGGGGGGAAGACAAGTCAGTCTGATAAAACAGCTAAACCGTGTACAAATGTGTATACCTTCTTCTTAGCCTTGCCTCCAGAACCCTCCTTCTTGGGTTTTCCTGCTGTAGGCTTTGCGGCCTTACTTGCCGCTTTATCGACCTTCTTGGCTCCTTGAAAAAATTATATAAAACAGTTAATCAAAGAAGAAAATAGCATTACAATTATCTCAAGTACTTAAGCTTTTTGCTTAGCCTTCACCGTAAACTATGTGAAAGGTTCTGGCTGTACATTCAATCTCTGAACTGGACCTTAGTCTTGTTAATTGAAATGTTTCAGAATTTGAGTTCCACGTGCACATCCATTTAAGAACCCAGGATACCGCATATCATATACAAAGTTCCCCGTGTGGGATCTGGGGCCCCATCATTGTGGGGGAAAACAAGAATAGACCCACTGCCTACCAAAAAGCATGTAGTAAGTAGACAGTAGTAAGAGTCGACTAATTGGTAGCTTCCCTTGAAGTCGGAGTGCGTCTGCCTGAGAGGCAATGAACCAACAGTTGAGTCTGCATTCAAGTGAATCAGATCTGTAAAACTAAAACTGATTCACAGTGCACACGCAACACTCAGGTTCTGGAGCAAGACTGCAGTCCGGGTGTGGATGAAGAACCAGAACTTTCCGCCAGAGTGTACAGCTGGTGAACGCGAAGAAGAAGTCATATACAAAGTAAATAAAAGGGTTCGATCATCATTGATGACTGCCGATCACTTCAGCAACTGACAACTGTAAACAACAACAAAAAACTCATAGAATCAAACACTTGCAGCATTCTCTGCCTACATTTAATAATAACAGCTTCTATTTCAGTAACATAATCCACCAAAAAAGCTAAATGTAATTAATTACGTTAAAGAAATCGATTAATTTGTCCACAATTGTGGTCCAAACCTACCATGCCGTTGGACGATTCCGATCAAAAAGACAGCAGATGGGGACGCTAGGGTGGAGATGACGTCATGCTTACACTCTGTACAAACAAGATTTGTAGCGTACTACTTTGGTTAATATTAATTATTAAATGTTTAAAAAAAAATTTAACTTAAATTTTAAATGTGAGTTTTCATTTTAGCTTATATTAACATTCATAATATAAAATAACAATTCTATTTGCTGTAAGCAAAATGATATTGAAAAGTGTAACCACTTCCTGTGAACTATAAACAAAGAGACGACACGAAATTCGCAGAAACCAACACAGAATCCTGTCTAGTTGATCATTCTCTCCAGCTCAGGGAGAAATGATATATGTAAGCTGTTTTATAACATCAACGCTTTTTTTCTGTACTGTAAAACCAGATTATTTATTTCGCTGTTTGACCGTGAAAAATTAACAACTTAATTCTCCAGCAGACAACTTGAGCAATGCATAACTGGGAAAGCCTTTCCGAAAGGAATGGTAACATTGAACTCTGGACTGGTAATTTTCCACGGCAGCAATGGTTTTATAGGGTCAATCCGGGATACTTGTCTTTAGGTACCGATTAATCTATGTGGTCAACACAACAACTGTGAAACTATTGTAGAGGTAGCTTGCTAGGTACATCCCTGATGCGCCCTGTCAATTAGCGCCACATTTCTTAGCCACTCTACTCTTGCCAACCAGATTGTTATTGTGAAGTATTTATTTTAGTGTGGTACCTCCCCGTGTGAATTCCGTGGCCCCATTCTGGACAAGACAAGAATATACTTACTGCTTCCCCAACAAGCATGTCGTAAGAGTCGACTGATTTGGGGCTTCCTTTAAAGTCTGAGTGCATCTGCCTGAGAGACACGAAACCAACAGTCTGCTTACAGATAAGTCATATTTCTAAAAGTAGTAAAACGGATTTACACGTAACACTTAGGTTCTGGAAAAAGTCTAAAGTCATCCAGAGGTGGATGAATAACCAGAACTTTCAAACAGAGTTTACAGCCGGTGAACGCGAAGAAGAATAGTATGGTTCCATAGTGCATAGAACCCATGATCATTCTTATCCCTACAGGATTGTAAGGCAGAACACATTACTTTTAAACGAATTGTGCCATCTGCACAGTGGGATTTGGATGTTGTGTATCCGCAGCTAATTGTGGGAATTTTATATGATGAGACCCAATCCCTCCCATGGTGCAACTCTTGTACCACTGTCTCCTCTTCTTCTTCTTCTTCTTCTTCTTAGCTTTCATCGGCAGTAAACCCCAGAGGAAAGTTCTTGTTGTTCATTCCCTTCTCCAGCCTGATTAAAAGTCCACCTAGGTTTTTCCTTTAACATTGAATATCCTACAAAACGCCATCCCCCCGCCCAATGATGAATTAGTTGTTCAAGGTATGGATACTTTGGCTATCCTCAGAATAATGGTCTCAAATTATCAAGGCTGAAAATATACCCTAACAGGGCTGTAGTCACATGTTAATTGCGCACTTCTGTCATCTTAAATTGAGCACTTCCGGCGACTTTCGCCACCGCCGAGAGTATCCCCACCGCCGCTCACGTGGCAGGGATTTTGGCTACCACCAGACTGGTATGCAAGCATGCTAACCACTGCACCAACATTTCCTCCTTCTCATGGTGACCTTTTTGATTTACACCGCCAGATCAGTTCTTTTTTTTTTGTTTAGTTCCATACAAATTTGAGCATAGTGTTGACTCACTGGGCCCACCATCCCTTTTTAATGGGTTCAACACCACTTGGTGGTGAATTACTGTATGGCAACCTACAGATTTTGAGGGCCTTTTGTGAACAGTGCAGAGGAACAAATAGATCATTCCGGTCTGAGGAGGATGGCGCTGCAAGAAGTTACCAGGTGATCTGGCCAATGCTCAGCACTCGAGGGAAAGGCAAGACGGATATACAGTGAGACAATTATTGGTACCAGTGGAATTGGAACTCTTCGCTTGCTGTTGAAGATAGGGATGGAGTGCTTATGAGTGACTCGATTGCTTTGATGTTAATTCTTACTTCAACATTCTTTTTAATGAGCTTTATAAGGGACAGTTTGGCATGACATGTACTGCGGTTTAAATGTGCAGCCCACAAGGGTACAGTGGGGAAATAATCAGACAAAGCCTCGGCATATGCTTGTTAAGTTTGTTACGCCCTGTTCTGAGGTGTAGAATGATGACCTGTCCATGCTGGTCAAGTAAATGGTACCTAATCACTGATTGTCTGTTGTTGTTTTTCTTACTGTTGCAGGTGTGACAAAATGTCTGCAGTTGCTCTGTGCATAGATGACCTCTGCCATGGGGTCATTGACTCTCTCAGTGGCTGGTGGGTGGCGGTCAAATGTTGGCGAAATGAAGCCAGACATCTGAAAGATAAGCCACCCCCTCCCAAAGCATTCTCTGAACATGCGAAGAAACGGGCAGGACAACAGAAAAAGAAGGAATCAGATGGGTAAGATTGCCAGGTTGTACTGAAATGTAATTTATTCATTTTGACTTATGCTTGGAATTTGTGCTAAATGGCCCAAAAAATGTGAGGGGAAGTCAATAAGTAAGTCACAAATCATTGTTTAACACCTCTTTTGATGTATGTCTTATTTAGTATAGCATTAGAAGGCATCCTCTCCAAGTGGGCAAACCATTTGTTTGTTTGCTGTTTTTATATGTAATTTAGAAATGGTTCTGTCCCATCTTTATCTCATCTTACCTTAGTCCTGAATTTATCTCTTCTGGTCACTCCTGCGGGCCCTTCTCCGACATCGCGTTTCATTGAAAACTAATCTTCCACTAATTCAAAATCATCATCAAATGCCTTGCCGACTGGCATGGGTGATCATGCCGCTCCATAATCTGTGATCTGCAACTGCGCGCATCTGTTCGTGTGCTGACATCCCTCCATGCCATGAAAAAAAAGTGTCAAAAATCTTTTCACGCTGTCTTCCCCTTTCTCTCTTTCCACCGATCTGTCCAGTGGTCAACATATTCCACTTTCCCTCTTCTCATAACACGACCAAAAAATGATGACTGTCTCCTTCTGATGTATATGATAAGTTGTCTTCGAGCACTCGCCTCTTTCAAAACATTTGGGTTGCTCTTTTTAGGTGTCCAAGGAATTGTAAAGTTTCCTCTGTAAAACCACATCTCTGCGGCCTCACAATATTGTTCGGCTTGTGTTTTACTTGTCCAGGATATACAGCCATATGTTGAAACTGGTTGTGTATAGCATGTGAGAATTTTTTCCTAGCCTCCAATGACAAAATCCAAAATACTAATCTTTTCATATGATGATTGGCATCTTTCCGTCTGGTTATATTGTTATGAGGAGGCACAGGACTCAGCCCATGGCAATGGCGAGTGTGACTAGCAAGACCCGCCCACATCAAGAAAAATCTTCCACTATAATAACATGGGATTTCAGGACCATTGGGGTCAACATTTGTGTTTAGTCTCTGTCTTCTCAGACGCTCAGCTTTCATCCTTTCTGCGTTCATTTCTTCCTTCATTCTTATTCCTTTCCTGAAGTGCTCCCTCCACACAACACAGTCCATGGCATTTTGCTCCCACGAGTCCACCTCAATACCTGTATCATTCATGTCCCGCTTGCACACATCTTTATGTCATAGTAGAAGTTGGCCTCAATCTCTTCTACCCGTTTTTAGTTCACCATGAAGGATGTCCTTAGGGAACTCT